CAGTGCTCTCTTCGTGCAGCAGCAAACACTCTCAGTGACTTTGTTGCTCCTTACACTTGGCCAAACAGCAGCAAGATGGAATTACCAATTTTTTTCATTGCATCTGTACAGAAGTTTGAATAGTGACTAAGCAGTCAATTCTGATGGCAGCTAGCAGGAAAAGCATGGTAAAAGTTTCAGGGGGAAAAACCCTGAAAATCCCATCTTCACAAGGCTCTTGAGATGAGCTCTGTTCCCACCTGGGACCCAGAGGAACCCAATTTCCCAGCTGGCCAGGGGCTCGTCAGAGGCTGGCAGAGAAAATCTGTGTTTAGAGTCAGAGCCATGCACTGGGACTGTCGGGTGTGCTCTTCCCCTGTTGCCTGCCAAAGAAAACATGAAAATGCTTTTTCACCCTGTTAATCAGTGTTAAAATACTGACACAACTTCTCCAGTCCTGGCCTTCCCAAAACAAGTTCAATTAGCACATCTTAGAACTGTGCTTTGGAGACTTATTTTAGTGTTGCGGTTTAAATCCATTGTATTAAAAGAAATTTCTTGGGTAAGTTGTTTTTCCCTCCACTGTTGCCTTTGTTTCCCCATCTGAGTACAGAAACTAATGAGATTTTCTTTTAATTAAAATGCTCTTAAGTCTAGGTATGAGACTTACCGTGGTAGAAACATTAAACGTCTGGGGTTTCTACGTAGAAAAAATGTTTATGTAACACCCAGCTTTTTAATAGCTTAACAGATCCAATACCTGACGGGACTGTGACCATGCATGAAAAGTTTCAACCCATACAGGGAGAAAAAGATAAATAAAGCAGTCTGTAAATGGAAGCTTTTTCCCATCTTAACTGTTTGGTATTATCATCAATCACTAAAACGTTTTTCCTGTACAATCTCACTTTTTTTTCATACCCAGTTTGCTCAGTGATATTATAATTTCGGCATTTAGAGCCTTACATTCTGGTTTGCTGTTGTTGCCTGTTAGGATACCGCAGCAGTGACAGCAGGGAGTGAATAAAGCAGGTATAAGCAGGTTACTTCTTAGTACTCCTATAATACATTCTCTCAGAGAAGTGATGAAAACCATATAATTTAAGTTATTCATAATGTGACTTGACAAAAATCTGGGAAAGAGATGTCAATGTAGTACAAGAAGAACTTTTATTCTCTAATTTCTATTGTTACATTTGAACTATGCCTTGTTCTATGTTTTTTGCAGTTCAGAGGCCAGTTTGGGGACAAATGTGATCTTTATTTTGTGTGTGTGTATATATGCCTGTGTATTAATTTTTTTATAGATACATAATGTGAATATATAAGTTATAAGCTATCCATTACTGTGACGCTATGACAAATTGTATTTAGCGCTAGCATTTACTGCAAGTCCTCAATTTTTTATTTTTTTTATTTTCTTTTTGTAAAGGCCCCGTGTTCAACTGCAAGGTCCAAGTTTGCCAGAGCACACAAATCCATTAGCACAGAGGTCAGGCCTGCAAAAACCTTGACATTTCAAAATGAGTCCCTTGCCTGGCTTCTGAAATGGTTAGAAATGAGATATTTTGGCTAGATATTTACTTCCCCACTTTTGCTTCAAGCTAGACAATAATCAATTGTTTTGTAAGTCAGGGATGAATTTCTGGTGTCATTTTTTCCAATTTTCTCTTTCATGTTTATGATTAAAAAGCCTTCCACTCCTGTGTTATTTTCTATTATTTGAATTCAATAACTTTCTACTTTTTGATATGTGAAAATAATTAGATGATGGTTGGATAAATCATGCATCTGAAAATAGAGCACAGCTGGATAAATAACAGATTAGAATTACCCTGTTAGTGTAATAAGTCTGAAAAATATTGTTCCATCTGGGTAGGATCCTGAGCTAAAGTTACCTTGTTAGCCCTTTTCTGAGGGAAGAGAAATCTTCTTGTGCAGAATGAAGCTGAAATAGTGGCAGGGAAAAAACCACAGTTGCTCTTTGCACCTTTTTGGTAGCAGAATCAGGAAGAAAATCAAGGAATAACAGAAACAAATGTCTCTTTGTGTTGGAGCCATTTTTAGCACTGATGGCGTACAAGAGGAGACTCCCCTGGGCTGTGAGACCACAATCTAGTGCAGTGATGATAAGATGTTATAACAAACGGCAAAAAACCACCAATATTGTTATGTTCCTATTTCTCTGCCACATGGAGCAGCTGCTCCGTGTGTCTCCTGGAGTAGCAGCTTAGTAAATGCACCGATTCACGTTTTGAATCTCTTGTCCCTGCCTCTAGGGAAATGAGCTAAGGATGGGTAGAGGAACAATGCAAATAATCTTTTTCTCAGAAAAAAGTAGCTCAGTTCTAGGCAGTATTGAAAAACAGACAAAATAAGTTGTAGGATGTTATCGTATGCAGAGGCATTTGAGGTAGTAGTCTGTATCTGTGGCAATTTAGTCTGAAAATGGTGTTTATTAGCTGCAGTGTTAGATTTGAAAAATTAAAGAATATGAAGATAAGAGATGCTTTACCCTGGATGATAATGTCAACCTTGGTAAATGCCAAAAATGAAGATGGAAAGGCAAATCCATGGGAACAGACAGCATGCCAGGCAGGGCTAGGCAGAAAAGAGCAGACAGGAGAACACCAACAGAAGAGACCTACAGAGAGACAAAAATAGGCTCTTTCTTTGCAAAACAAAACAAAACAAAACAAAAAGTACTAAGACAGAAAAGTAATGTAGAATTCAAGTTCAGGATTAAGATACTTTCTCCCTTTGGATCTGCAAAACCAAATGAACATCTGTTTCTCACTCGAGTGTAGAGGTCAGCTGTAGAGCTTTATTCAGATGGTGGAGTTTGATAGGCAACCTAAATCCGAACAGTAAGTGCATGAAAACTGTATGTATCATTCTCAATGTATAAATTGGGGGTTTTGTTTGATGGTTTATTTGCTGTTTTTTTCACAAATCTTTTCTTCTACCAGACACAGTGCCTACATGCCCGTAGGTGCTGCAGAACAACTGTTGTGCTTTTTTCTGATTTTAGTGAGTTTTATTTGCCCTTAGGATTTCAGTGGTCTAGGCATATTTGAATTAAAACAATACTATCATAGTGCTATAAATGAACAGAAGGGTTAGTATGACACCTATAGCTGTAAAGGTTATTTTGTGGTAACACAAGTTTTCCTAGCACACAATAACAAAACTGCAATTTAAGCATTAAATTCACTTTAGAGCAAGAGGAAATACTAACATAAAATCTCCACGTGTTGCAGTTGTTACCTCACTTGCTACTGAAGTGCAGCTGTTTCTGGGGATGCAGCATAGCTCTGCAAATGCCCTGGAACAGTTTAGGATACATCTGAGAATAACTTACTGTAGTGAGATTAGTAGAATGAAAATACCAAAGTACACAAGGTTACCTTGGTTTGTCCAAACTACGCTGAGTTGGAGAGAAACTGTAAGGGATTCCTGTAATGTCTCCTCCAGAAAACTGTACTGGAGCATTATTTAAATAGTGTTTTTTATTTATTTAATACTATTTCATTTTATTTTACTGCCCAGTTTAACAAGCATTAAAAAGGCCTGACCATGCCTTGGTGATGTCCATCTGAAGCACATCATGAGCAAATAGTAGTGAAACTTATCCTATGTGAACTTTTTTTTTAAAAAGTAGCAATGGTTTATATTTAAGAGTGGATATTACTTCTGTCCCAGCTCAGAAAGTGATTTCTTTAGATGATATGTAATAGCTTTTTCTTCTTTTTTTTTCCTGTATATTTTCATAAATTTTGTTTAAAATTTAATTCCTAATCCACTGAGAATCAGTAGCATCTATTCCTTTTTATTGCAAACTAGCTTGTTAATTTGATAAAGAGTCTGTCAGCATTTCGTTTGCATATTTTGTTCCTGTAAAAATCTCCTGCTATGCTGTATATTTTTCAACCATTTGTGGCTTGAAACATTGCCTAATTCTAGCTTATGTTTCCCTGTTTTCAGGCCGTAGCTTTTTATGTCTGACAACTCAAGTCTTGCAGCAATAACATCAAGTTCCTGCTATGCTTAGAAAAATACCACCCATTTAAAGATATCATCTGCCACCATTTTATTGCACAGTGGATAGATCTGCTTTGGAGGGTTGCGGAGTTTCGTTTGACTCCCCGGCTGGTTTTGGACATGAGGTTTTTATATAAATTCCAAAATGCTTTTTCCTTTCACGGCCGATCACTTTTTGGAAAAGTCCAAGTGGAAGGTTTCTGGCTGACTTCCACATGTAGAAGAGCCTTCAAAAAGTCCTTTCTGTATGTGCTCATGGTACTAATATCAAGCCAAAGTTTTAAGAGACTTCACTGCTTGGAAGCACTATCTCTGTTCTGTCACCAGTCTTATCTGTTAGATCCCAGTGAGTGTGAAAAACAAGAAAAATCTGGGTTTGCTTGGCTGTTTCAGCAGTGTGTTGAGAATGGCCAGATTGCTGGAGAAGACGATTCTCTTGGAAACCTCAACAGCCCGGCCTCCTCATCTGTAGGCACATAGAGCTCATCTGAGTGTGTAAATAAAAATAAATAATGCAGTGAAAAAATATGCAGAGTATTTTGCCGAAGTGTTTCAATTTTGGATCTGCCATAGCTAATTTAAATCTTCTGTTGGGATTTATGCAGGCAAGGGGTCAGGTTTAAGATGTTTGAATTTAAAGCTTTCCTGCTAGTACACCTTTTCTGCTTTTATATCCTACCATGATACCTTTTTTCTGCAAAGAAAGTGCCTTTTATTCCCTCTTCCTTTCCTTCTTTGAAGAGAACATTTGCTTCTCCATTTATCTGAGGTAATGAGAACAGAGTAGCTCTGGATTCTTTAAATCAGTCTAATTAGGCTTCTCTTAGTGTATAGAATATTGGGGTTTTTGCACAGGACTTTCATTTCTTTGTGCAGTCACTCCATCTCCAGCACTCAATATCTTACATGCTTTTTTAATTAAAAAAACCCAGGCGAGCAATTGTCATCCAAATGACTGTGGTCTCTATTCTCTGTTCCAGGCTGATTCACGGAGGGCAGCTGTTAAATGGCTTGGCGGGGCCAACCGTCATGAACGCGGCACCGTTCCTTTCCACGACGTGGTTTTCCCCGGACGAACGTGCCACAGCCACAGCCATCGCCTCGCTGCTCAGCTACCTGGGCTCTGCGGGCGCCTTTCTGGTGGGACCTCTCATAGTGCCGTCTCCTAATGGAACATCTCACCTCCTGCTGGCATCACAGAGCAACACGGAGCACATCAAGGACCGCATTGAGGCTGTGCTGTATGCAGGTGTGGTTTAAAAATAAAAAAAAAATTAAAAAGAGAGAAAAGAATTTACATACTTTCATATGTGTGTTTGGTACTTGTGAACCACTACCCTCTAGTGGCTGGTCTGCACAGAGAACAGTTACTGACTGATGGAAAATAGTGAAGTGGTAAAAAAACTTGCCATCAGAAGAGTTAATTTCTTTTCCCTTTTGTGTAGGAAGGATGTTGAAATAGCCTTTTGTACAAGCTGATTCCAAATGAAGTGTTTCTGTTGTTTGTGTCGGCTGATACAGAGAAATGTCTTCTAGGAGAGCTTGCACTTTCCCTGAGCCTCCAAACTGGTTTTTGCTTCTTGAATTTTCATTTCAAAAAAATGTGTCCATGACAGGGTGGTTTTTTCCGTGTTGTTCTCTAAGGATCCAATAGTCTTTCAGCTTTAAATTCTTTTCTGCTTTAAATCAGCCTTAATTTATGACGTGCATATGCCTTTCAAATGTGATTAAATTATTGGTATCTAACACTGAAATTAAAATTCAGTAGATTTTGTTTTTAAGTAAAACCACATAATTCTGATATGGTGAGCAATTTTAATGACGTGAGAGCAGTTTAGTGGAAAAACCACTGCTACAAAATTCACCTGGTCTAACTTAGATTTTACATCTTTGCTCTTTTTTCATGCTTCTATGGCTCTTTATGTCACTTACAAAAGTTAGCAGCAAGCTTTAAGGAAGGAGAGTTGCTGAAGTGCCCTAAGAGTCTACGGTCCGATTCTTAGTGGATATGAACTGGTGCAGCATTAGGAGCAGCTGAACTTTACCGTGCCATGGCAGTTGCACATTTGGTTGGTTTTTTCCCCCACTTATAATTGCGGCCTCTGAAATTCAGCCAGGAGTTAGCCCGAAGTGTTCCAGAAGTCTTAAAGTGTCTATGCTGTGTACTTTATAGGCAGGTTTATGAGATTGAATTAGCTGTTTGTGATCATTTATTCCTGGATGTTATTCTTATGGAAATTTTCTCAAGTTAATACTCCTGTTGGACGTGGGCCATTTTACTGTTCATTTTAAAGAAAGCGTGGTAGAATTTGGATCACTATTTCAGCAAGTATTTGGCTCAGTCCTTTTCAGTAACCTGCTTTTTGCTGAACTCAAACGTATTGGAACAACAAGGAAGTTTGGGTTTGGTTAGGCATTTTTCAGAGGTGAATGTGATAGAGTCCGAAGATCTCGTGGCAGATGAAACAGGCCAGTGTGAAAGAAGCAAAAATGAAATCAAGTCAGCTTTTGTGGTGAGGAGCATTAGATAAAAGAAGGAAAAATCTAGCAATTAGAGATGTGTTTTAGCTCCCCCTCTCCAGATTTTCCATTGAGAGAGAATAATTCACCCACCTAAAGGAAGTACAGTTTTGTGCCTAAAACCACTGTATTGAGAGTATGGTAGCACTAGAAATGTTGCTTTCTGCAGCCTATTAGATTCACTTGCTCTTCAATTCTCTTCTGGGACGTTTGCCTAAGCATTTTCTTCAGAAGCTCTGACACATCTTGCTTGCCACCAAGGTTCAGAGTTGTTTCTTGCTTGCCCCATGTCTCAGTATGGCTCTTTCTGAGCTGGCAAGTGTTTGGGAACATCCAGCAGACCTGTTAGGCGTCGTTGGTCCCAGTGTAAGCTGATCCTACAGCAGCTTTTCAGCTTCCTAGGAAATGCGTTTTGTGGGGTGTCTGTAGTTCATGCTTTGTACTTGAAAGTGCTTTGAACAGAAGTGGTTTCTTTGTGAAGTTGTGCTTGTGGTTTTGTCATATGGGATGTGTCTTTTCAGGAGCTACAACCCCTTTAGCTGTTCAGACAACAAGAACGAGCTGGTTCATGAACATTAGTGGCCTGCAGTGATCGTGTCAAAACGTCCCAACTGGTTTAAAATGGGTAGGAACTGTCAAAGAGGAGGTTACTTGAGTCCCTGGTAGGATCTGTCCCATCTGGTGGGATCAGCCCAGTTTCCCTGGAGAGCTGAAGAAGTAAGGTCCCTGCTGTCCGCCTCCCCCATGCTCTGTTATGCCAGGTTGGCTCAGAGGTGGAGAGAAAGCTGCCTCGTGGTGGGTGACAGTGGGTGTAGTTGTACAGCTCTGTTCTCTTGCAGACCAAAAAATACCTGGTAGGAGTGGTAGGGCGATATTTGTGCCCATAATCAGCTGGACAGAAAACAAAGTTCCAGGTGACTTCACGGATTGCATTCTGTGACACCTTTACTAGTAGTGAAACGAGGAGCTGGACCCAGGCACCCCACTTCCCCACTTTTTAACCAGTGTGGTCAGGCTTGTTATGACTTCTCCTTTCCAATGCTGTGGGAAAACCAGTTTCACAAGACAAGCACTCGGCGTTCTCAAGAGAGTTGTGTTTGTGATGGAGCTTGTTGCATTTGTGTGAGGTAGTGATAGATAAGCAGCCTCCAAAAGTTAGGTGATGACTTTTAAAAGGTGGTAATGATGCAAATTGTTAACTTGGGATCTGTAGTATGCCAAGAGTGTGCTAGTTTTCCAAGGGCTTAACCTCGAACATGATTACGAAGCAATTGCTTATAAACCCATTCCAAAATTGCTCTGTTAACTCCAGTGTCTTCGGTGTTTTAATAAATTGCAGTTCCTTTATCTCAAACATGGACTAGGAGTTCAGCTGAATTACCGCAGCCTCTTTCTGTGTCATCTGTGTTGCTGCACATTCTGGTTCACAGCTGAAATGGTACAGATGTAGCAAATCAGTATTGAATTGTATTACCTGAATCGCATAAGGAGGCTTGAATTATTCTGGGCTGCAACCAGAGCTTTTAGCCATGTACTTTCCCAAATACCAATGTAAAATTATTATTTGTTTAAAAAAAATGCATGTGTGTGTAAAGTGTCCTCATTTCCCCCTTTACATTTTGGGACAAGATGGGGAGAAAGGTTTCTGGGTTTGGGTAGGGTTTTGTGCTATGAATAGCCTATTTGAAGGAAAAAGACCTTGCATCAAGGACGCTTGAGTCTCTAGAAACCTCTTTTTCTGTTTGGAGCTTACAGAGTGCCCACTTCCTAGGCTGAGATGCAGACATCTCTCCACTTTGACAGTCACAGGTCACTGTGACATGTACCCAGCTTTTGTGAACCGTTCCAGTTTCACTCCTTAACGAGAGATACACACACACAGCTGTGTTGCTGCACACCAGTTTATGCTGACTTACCCAATTCTGAGTGTTTTGCTGCACCCATGGCACTGTTGAGAAGCCGATAGCTCCTGTGGAAGAGCTCCTCTTTTGTGACTGCAGCTCCCTTGGTCTTGATACTGACCTATTTCTTACCTTTTCTCTTTTGCTTACTTTTGTGCCCTGCTTACAATCTAAAACTTGTCCTGGAAATGTGTATTTTTTTAATCTAGTCTGGTAGAGTAAAATGGTGGAGATAAAGGTGTGGCTTTCCTGATGAGGAAGGAATGCAACATGTAAGAAATAGGATGTGTTTGGTAGTACCTGGGCTTTTGATAGAGGTGCAAATGTGATACGCAAAGTTAAGATGGCACTAAAGACTTATACTCTTCAATAGAGGGAGCTGCTTTAGTTTCCAAAGTGAATTCTGCTCTTCTCTTTTGTGCATGAGGGCAGTGCCTGCGAGGCAAATTTGTTAGCCTGGTAAGTATAACGCTGGGAAACATTAAAGAGTTGCAAGAAGGTGCTACAAGGACTGCATGCTGAATTTAATAATTAAAAAAAAAATCAAGTGTTACTATACTGCTCCTACTGCAGCAATTTGACTGGCAAGAATCTTGAGGCAACTTGTGGAAGAGGCCCCAGATGGGCACCTGTTATAAAATATTACCGTGACTTAAAAAAATTATCGACGTGTTTTACATTCTTCAGAGAAAGACCCAGCAATTCCCCTTACAGCATTGCGGTATAATGAAGTTAAATAATAAGCACCTCAGACAAAGTTTGTGTCACGTTCTTGTTGGCTATACCTGTCTGCAGTCTGAAACCTTCAGTTCATAGTGATTGAAGTGTGCGTGTGCATGTCCGTGTACCTGTAAACCTGCATGTAGACCTTAATGCAGGGGAAGAGGATAAATAGCTTTTGGCAAGTGTTGCTTCCCTGTCTAGTATCCTGCTTTACTGACAAAGAATCTCTTCCCTTTCTTAGATCTGGGGTGATCAGTTATGAACAGTTCTTTAATCGCTGCTCCTGGTCTCAAAAACAATATACGTGAAGATAGACATTTATTTTCTGGAGAACAGAGATGTAGTGAGAAGGTCTAGTTAAAGTGGCCTTGACCTTCAAAACATGCAATTAGACCACAGCAGGAAAAGAAGCACCACGTAATTCAGAATGAATCCTTTAGTATTTGATTGTGAAGAATGGCATTGTCACATTCCCGGTGTCCCTTCAAAAGAAGTTTAGTGTAGACTTTTTTCCATATACTGAATAAGCGTTCATTTCCCTTCCCTATCTCCAGCTGATCCATTTAGACTCCCAAGTGTTATTTACTTTTCAGCTTCCTGAAATTATTTTCTTCTGGTTTAGCAGAAGAGCTGGCAAAGTGCCATGTTCATATTGATTTATTAAAAAAAGAGAAAAAAGAAAATGAATGCAATTGAGTATCCAGCTCTGCTGGAATTTATTTGTGGTGTCGGTGAACACTTCTTTGTTATAAGATCACAGGTTCTTTTAAGATAACACTCTTCAGCTGTACATTTGCCTCTTCAGCAGCAAAGAATCTTGTTTTAAAAGGGGATAGGAGGAATACTGGGATTGAGGACCGTGGAGAACATGATATACATTGTAAAAGGCCCGTAAAACAAATTAATTAGACTGGCTGTGAGTAGAGTTGTTTTTCCTCAGAATGTCTGATCATGGGGCTGGCTGAGTATTTTCTGTGAAGTGCTTATCACTTTGCAAGTTCAGGTCCAAATTTCTGCTATGAATTTTTTCAAAGATCTATAATACCTGCTGCTGAACAAGAGGAGCATCTGCAAACAGCTGTATTCTTTCATTTTTCTCCCCATTATCTGTGCTCTTTCTATTCCTGAGCCGTGGCTGCTCCTAGGCTTTTTTCTCTTTATATTCTGTTGCCATGTAAATACTGTTTGTGTCCGAGCTGCTGCCTTGATTGACCTTTCCTTTGCCTTCATCATCCTGCGTGCTGGCTAATTGTCATTCCATGCCCTGGGGCTTCCCCAGTGCCACCTGTTTCAGGTCTCTGGCACGCTGTTACCTGCACTGCGTTACTCCCATTGCGAGGAAACGTGGCCAAATCTTCATAATGCAATTCTCTAAAGAAAGAAAGCAAAAGCTTTCCTTTTGCTCCACTGAATTCCCCATGCGTGGGGCTGGTGCTCTGCAGCTCCTGTCACTGGAGTGGACTGCTGGTATTTCTACATCTCATCGATTCTCCATCTCAGTTTGAAACCTTGCTTGGGGAGGGAAAAAAAGAAATTCTCCTTCAAGTTACGGAGTTTCAGTGTTGGGAGCAGTAAAGCACTTGTGATGGGATTTATGTATCAGAGGCTGGCTGATAACAGTGCTGTACCAAAATAAGTCTTTCGATGCTGACGTCTGCTCTTGGTTTTGCTTTTCTTTGCCCTCTTGTTTAGAGTTTGGAATGGTTTCCCTGATATTTTCAGCGGCATTGGCCTACTTCCCCTCGCGCCCTCCATTCCCTCCCAGCGTGGCTGCGGCGAGTCAACGGCTCAGCTACAGGAGAAGTTTTTGCAGGCTCTTAAGGTAGGTCCTCATTGCGTTTCCACTTCAAAGAAGGCCAGCACCTAAATTAATAAACACGAGTGTGCTTTAATCTTCTCATTGAGCAAACAAGTTGGTTTGTAGTGCTTTTAAACAAAATCAAATTAAATATTAATGCTGAGACAGAAAAGGATGCTAACTGCTAGAAAGCAGACATTAAGATTTAGATCATTGGGTATCTCTCAAGTCTTCATGCCAAGTCCTTCAGAACCAACACTGCTTTAGTCATCCTGTTGACACGGCTTTTCTTATGCAATCCTTCTGTTGCATCAGGTTATACAAGATTGTTAACAGTGTGTGTACTGCTATATGTAAGATAACAATTAGCAACACTGAGCATAAGTAACTAATAAGCTGCTTTCTTCTATGCTTCTTATATTGGAATGAGTTTGGGGCATGCTTGTCATTCAAAGGAGTATTCAGCTGTGGGAGCAATGAATGAACCATCTGAAACCATTATATGATCTATTAAATCTCATTAATTGTATGTTAAAACATGAAGTGGGAATAGGAGGAGTGTCTTCAGGTGTGTTTCTGGACAGATTCAAAGATGAGTTCATTTCCTTTAAATTTTGGGATTTTAAAAAAATAAAAGTTGTGAAGAAAGTCACATCTCCAGCTTTGCAACTTCTCCCGCTTGGGCTCTTTTGGTAAGACACAGTTCCCCATCTCTTCCCAGTGTTTGTACAATGTCTTGTGTAATGGGAATCTGATCTCTGAGAAACAGCTAAAGCAACCTTAATATTAATGCTGAATAATTGTGAAGGCCTGTGCCCAGTACGTGATACTGCACAGATGAACTTCTGGGGCAAAGAGCTCCTGTGGTGTGAAGTACGGCTGGGGAGCTTCAAACTCTTGCTGTGATTGTTTCTTGTGTAGGAACTGAATCTGTCAAGGGCTGCTTGAAACTTGGTAACTGTGGGGCTTTAGTTATTACAGACCTATTGTGGGCTGTACTTTCTAAAAGTGTATTTAGAGCCAGCAAAGACAACTTATCCCTTGTAATTGTTTTTTTTCTTTCCCTTTTGTTTTTGGAGGCTTTTGTTTCAGTTTGGGAGAGTAAATAGTTGACGAGATGCTTAATCCTGTGTGTTCATTCTGGAGCAGGCTGGCAGCTGGAAGGTGTGAGTGCAGCTGGCTGGTTAGTCTGCAAAGTGACCTACACAGGATATTAAAAAATAGCAATTCCCATTAGGACGCTTAGCACGCACAACGGTGCTGTTACGGGCCCAAGATGGTGTGCAGTGAGACCCTGAGAGGACTGTGTTTTGAAAATGTTGCTGTTGAACAGAAATCTAAACAGCAACTGACTCCGCAGGTGAAGTACAAAACTTCTGTCGTCAGTACTCCATTTGAGAGCTTCATAACCATTACGTTGCTTGTCCAAAGGGTATTACACAGTGGACCTGAGATACTGGTACGGTCAGAAGGTAAAGAGCAAAGTGGACTTACCATTCACAATCAATGGAACTTAAGAAAACAAAGTGGATTCTTAAATAATGAGCATAGTTTATAGTGTCTCCAAGAATCAAGAGGTTTTTTAAAATGCCGTCAGGTGGATCATTGTATCTCCCTTCCCTCTGGTCTTTATGCATTCTTCCATGCTACCCCTTATCAAAGCACTTCTTCATTCCTCTGTACGTGAAACAGTCAACAGTTCATCATTAAACCCACTTATCTTGGGGAGCCTTTCAGCAACAATCCATCAAGCAAGGGGGTTTTATAAAGGAAAATGGTATCTGCTGAGCTTCAAAAGAAATCCGTCATCTGGTTTGTTAGGCTTCTAAACTCTGTTGCCTGCCTAATCTAGGCTTCATAATTCTTGGCACAGAGAGTCTTTCTTTTGACGTAATGGTGTAGACTGAAGTTAATCAGCTGATGAGTACCAGGAAATAATGATTTCCCCTTTATTGCAGACCTACCCTCGGGTATGAGAACTGTGTGTAAGTCATTCAGGATGTGTGTGAGCTGGTGGGCTGACCCAACTATACACCAAAAAACACTCATGAGAGTTGAGATGTTCATAATTTCCCTGTTCTCTCTCCCAGGCTGCGGTTTTATTACTTCAAAATAAAGCTGTGTAGCATAACTTTACCATTGAAGTAATTGACCTTTTTCCTTGGTCGCCAAAGGGGTCTATCACATCCTTGCAACTCCCACGCTCCTTCATGCCTTCAGGTCCTTGAGCAGTCGTCTTCATGAGCTGCTTCTTGCAGAGTTGTATTGTAAATACCTTCTTAGGGTCAACCATCCCTTGTAGAAACTCGGTTCTTCCTCATGATTTGGAGAATTCCTGCTTCTGACGGATTATAACGATTAGCTGATCTCTGGTTATCTCCTGATACCAACTCTCTCAGCCTGCAGTGGGAGACGACAGATTAGTCATGGTTTGGGAGCTAAGCCCAAATCTTTTAACAGTCTATCACACGCTGTGACAAGTGTAGTTTGAATTTCCATTAGCAAAAGTACAGTGCCCTTTCTCAGTTTCTTGGGTGATGCAAATATGACTTTTTTTTTTCCACTCCCATTTCCATGGAAAAGATTCTAATACAAGTAAATAGTTGGTAAGTCTCGAAATCTGCATGAAGAAAACATGTTGTGATATTTTGCTTTGAAGTATTAGATGCTTTTAGCTGGTTACATGTCTTATATTTTCAAGGGACTACATAGGCAATTTTGAAATGTCCTAACAGGGTTTTTGGGCATCGTTATTTCTTTAATGAAACTTTCATATGACATCACCCGCCAGTGATGGAAGCTGCTCAGAGTGTGCCTGATGTTAATAGGCGCTGTCAAAGTTATTCTGAAAACAGTGATTGACTTTGACAGGGTTCCCCTCTGAACCAGCCCGTCTTATGGATTCTAGTGGCACCGAGTAGGTTTCTGAAAAAGAAAAAATCCCAGAAGCAAAAACCAATCCGTATTCCACCAGAACAGTGTAACAGAGAGGCTAATGCTGATATCCTGTCATAAGGGCTGATACGATGGGAAACAGTGTGGGTTCACCAGCTGATGATGTGACAGACAGCACATTTTTCTATTTTCAGTGGAGCAATTGCGAAATTGTAAAACAAAATACAAGTGATTGGAGCCACAAGAAGTGGAGCTGCCGCTTAAGATATGTGTTTCAAATAGCTTTAACATTTAATGTAGCCAGTGCTAGCTATTGTTGGACAAGGGGACAGAATGACATCTGGTGATTGGTGCCACTTTGTCACTACCATGCACGCTTTCTCCTGGTCGCCTTCCTTATTCTGGAGACCAGTCAGGGTGGCAGCCTCTGTCACCAGAGGATGACATGATATAGAGCTGGTTTTCTAGGGCTCGGACTGGGAGTTACACGTGGCACTGAGCAGCTGCCCCATGTGCCAGTCTGTCTCATTGCTTGAGTTACAGAAGAATACTTATGTGCCACAGGAGATCTCAGTCAAGTAAGTGACAAAGTACTCACCTGCACCAAAAGCAGCTCTTTAATGAAGACAAGGTTCAGATAGCCAAAGATTTTGAACATTGAGCAATCTGCAACATGGCTATCTAATGTCCATGCAGAATGGACACTTTGCCTTTATTTATTTATTTAATTAATTCTGCAGATGTTGAATTAGCTTTTATGTGGATAATATTAAATAGCATCCAAAAACCTGCCCTAAGAGATGCCAGGGTGATACAGGATAGGCAAGGGTAAGAGTATGGCATTCTTAAGAGAAAAAAATGTTGTCAGAAAAGAGCACACTGGCATTCAGAGAAATAGAAGCAGTGTGTGGAAGAGCTGAAAGTTTGGGAGTTGTTTTTCTTTGCATTAAAAAAACAAATCTGACATGAATGATGTTGAAAGAGGAGGATATGTTCATGTGATAGAAATGTGTTATTCAAGAAGAGGATGTGTGAAAAAGAACTGTGCAAAAATACGCTGGCTGGTGTGTGGATCTTCTAGGGGAGTAAAACAGCGTAAGCTGCAAACCTCTGAGTGTTTTGGAGAGTGTTTGAAGCTCTTTCTCTCCCTCTTGGCTTTCATAACTGTGTGCTATCAAATTGCTGCTGCATGCCAAGGAACTGGTACTTATCAGGATCAGTTTTATGTAAATTGTTTGGGAATGGTGGGAGACACATTTTGTGTTACACAGATATCCTATGGGATAACCTTGGAAACACCATAAAATCTCTACTTTAAAATATCACTGTTAGAGCATCTGAAGTACATTTTCTGTTTTTATTCCCAAATCAATACATTTTCTGGGGAGAAGTTGGATTTCTCTTAGCAAAGATTTCACATTTGCTTTTGGTTACAGTGGGTGGTGGGGGAAACTGGTGGTGGTACTTGTCTGCCAAGTCCTGTTTAGCAGTGTGCAGCGAAGATGATGGCACAGCTTTCACTGCTTTGTCTTCACTGAATACTAAAGGTTGAATAATTTTAATTGGGAGGAAAGAGCAAACACATTGACTGTTTAGAGCAGAATATTATACTTGTCTCTGGTTTTTGACAGTTCAAACTGTCAAAATTTTCCACTCTTGCAACTGTACCCATCTCATTCCCAGAGCTCCCCTTGCCTTTCACCAAAATAAAGAGAAGTAAAGCAGTTGTTGGTTCTGTTGGGTTTTTTTGAAGTACAGTTCAAAAAGTAGGAATCTCTGATTTTATTATTGAGATGCGCTTTTTGTCATTTAAATTAGTGTTTATTGCTCCTAACATACACTTAGGCTAAGTAGGTTGTCCATGCAAATGCATGGGAGAATTGTTTGCGGAAATGAGAAACACACGAGCCCAGTGTGTTACAAAAATCTTTGAACTGTGTGGAGAGACTGGCTTTTTTATTATCACAGTGCTAAGGCAGTAACATCTCAGCCACTGGAATTGCAGTGACCGTGGCTAGATAGCTTTCTTGTTTTTCTTGGCTCACTCCTCCTTCAGACCTCTGCTATCGATGGGCAGAGTATGGATTCTAGTGTGTCATGTAACAGCCAATCTTGGTGCAGTTTCTGATACAAGCTGCAGCTAATTGCGTATGTTTTGTCTTCACAGCAATTTCCGATTCCTGATGATTGCTTTAGCCTATGCTATACCACTGGGTGTTTTCGCTGGCTGGTCTGGTGTTCTGGATTTGATATTAACGCCAATTCATGTAAGCCAAGTAAGTATCCCTTGACTGATTAATCAGCTATTTTGTAAGTGACATGTTTTTATTTTACACTAGCATACGATTTTATCAGGTTTTTCTGTGTGAGCTGCTATTAATACATATGGACCGCTTTTCTCCTGAAACTTTAAACAAAGGATACTGTAGTTTGGCATTCCAAACTGTCATGATTCTCCCTGTTGACTCCACCAGCAGTGGGCATTTTCAGGACCGTATGCACCTTTTGACAAGGAGGAAGAGGCAGGTAAACAAATGGGAGTATTCTTGGCTGCCGCACCTTTAGTAAAAGAAAATAGTTTTTACCAGGTGGGAAAGATGAAGTGAGGAGAAGAGGATTTCTAAGCTTTTGACAGTATTACAAAAATCCAGAGGTCGTTACTCAGTTTCTATAAAGAGATGTCACATTTAGGGCATAGGTTATTTAGCCATACTTTCTTTTAGTGAATTTATTTAGTGTTGAATATCCTAGAAAATGCTTTGAACTTCAAATTGTTTTTCAGGGGCTGTTGCTAGCAGTTTGCAGCTCGTGCACACTCTTTGTTATGAAAGTAACATATAATCATCTCATTTTCTCAGCTTTAACACATTTATCTATGTTTTGTTGTGTTTTGTGTTTGTTTGGTTTTTTTAATTTTCCTGTCAGGTAGATGCAGGCTGGATTGGATTTTGGTCTATAGTTGGAGGCTGTGTTGTTGGCATAGCAATGGCAAGGTAGGAATAATTACATCCTCTATTCCTTCAACTGTGGTTGTCATTTATTTATCCTCTTAATAACATAACTTGTTTTCTCTCATCTTCAAGAAACTTTAAATGGAAAATGCATTCTGGAGTTATGATGTATTTCTTGTAGAGCAATAGTTTGTATATTCTGTGTCAGTGGTTGCTGGGGGTTGAAAACTCCACATGCATATACCTCAGTTTGGCAAGTCACACTGTTACTCCTGACAAGAGCTTCCTGTCTGCGCCTTTTAAACACAGTTCTTGTGAACTCAGCTGCCTGGTATGAAGGAGAATCCATTGTAGCACATTTGGAAAGCATTGAAGAAATTAGTGCCTGTCTCCTTCCATCAACACTTCTGGGCATACTTATTCCTGAAGGGATACTGGGAATGTAGCAAAGGCAGCCTGCCCAAAATAACGTTAGGTTCCTCCACAGAGAAATTAGTCTGGGCACATTTTGGCCAGGTTGCTGGATTCCTATATGGCCTAACTATTTTTTGCTGTACTGCTGTGGGCTACAGTATGAGTGCATTGGGCATTTTACATATCTAAACACATCTCTGGCCATCGTGAATGCTGATGGCATGAGGAGCAGAAATGCAAGAAATAGATTGCCCTTCCAAAAGGCCACTGCTTTTTCTTCATTGAGATCCCCTCTAAAGAAGGGGCAGGGGAAGAGAGAAAAAGTCTTTCAGGAGGTACTTGAGCAGCGAGTTTATAAAACTGATTAAAACCAATCGCATGTTCCCCTTGTATCGGGGTATGTAAGCATTGTCCTGGATTCTCTATGTCAACTCTTTAGACTCCGGTTCTGCAATGAGGTTAGCATAAGTGCAGGGATGCGTCATCACTGCAGTCGCTGTGGGACTCTGGAGATGGAAAGGCATCTTTTTTGGACAGAAATCGAAGCTCTCTTTTCACTTGCTGTGCTCCATCAGAGTACACAATGCATAAAGAAATGTGATGTTTCTCATCCCGACACTTTGCAGGCTGCCTAGCAACTGCGACCGAGGGAGAGGAAAAAACTCCTGACCTAGGGAAAAGAAACAGGCGCTCTTCTCCTGTCCACTCCAGATGCAGGCCAAAGGACTTCATCTATTGAAACAAAGTTCATACCTTGATTTCCTGTTAAAAAGAGTTGCTTTTGATTAGCTAGGTTCAGATGCAAGGTTTTCTCCCTAAAAGAAGTAAAGTTTAAAACCAGCTGCTGTAAATGACACAGATGCCGTAGCAGGTTACATGCTGAAGCAGGTAGTGTGCTAGTTTAATCTTTTCCATCATGAGTTAATCTCTGGTATATTTGCAACATTTCAATGGTAGAGGAGCACCCTTAGCAGCTCACTTAACTTTTTTAAGAGAGAATCTGCTGACACAATGCTAACATGCAAATCTCAGTCTTTATGGTAGATTAATTTATATAATATATTGCATGGGTTAAGTTTCAGGAAATGCTGACAGTCTCTTTAACTGCTTAAAAATTGATTTCAAACCTTGTTGAATACCAGTATTTTGTAGCATTCAGAGCTTTGCTTTTGAGTAAATTAAAAAAATACCAACAGTCTGTCTCCAAATATGTCTTTCTAACTTGTGTGATACACAGTTCAAATGGGAGGGTTTGCATACAGAAAGGGAGGGAGGAGGTAATTTGTCACTCCTGATGGATGACTCTTCCTCCTAGGCCTATTCAGCATTTATCTGTGTAGAGTTGAATCAATGATGAGTCTGACTGTAATCTGCTGAAAGTTGTAATTAGGAAAATTAAGTAATGATTCTTGTCAAGGCTGACAAGTTGATGTATTTCAGTGTCAGAACTGTGATTTGCCAAGCAAACAGCTCTCTCCCTTAACTATGTCTCAGGAAGCTGTTTGTTGGGTTTTGGGTTTTTTTCCTAATTTTTTTTTTTCTCATTTATCAAAGCAAATTGGTACAATTCAGGGATTTGTGCCTTCAATTTTTGTCAACACAGATTCTACCATTTAGAACTGTAACAACCTGAGCCTTGCCTTGGAGCATTTGGTCCTGCATGTCACAGTAGATGTTAAATCATCTATATTTAAAGTAATGCTCAGTTTGGAAATTTGTTTATCTGTCTCATTTTCAAAATGGGGCACGTTTTCCTCAGCACAATACATAAGTCCTCCTGCTCTCCACCCACTGCTTTCCTGATAGCTGTGAACTTGGATATGTTTAGCTAATTTGTGAGATGCTCTTTTATAATTTAAAAGCCTGGGCTGTTGGGCAGCTGGCAGGTGCTGTACCCTTTGTTGGCAGCTTTCACATGATACTGCTTTGAAGAAAAGCAGTGTCGAAGAGCCATATTCGTATCATTGCATGGAAACATAAATCTGTTCCCTTTTCTCAGATATTTGGGTTTTTTTGCCACATTTGCTAATGGTCATAGATATTTCTGAGGTTTTGTCCTCCACAGCTCAGTTTTTCTTCCTGCTTTTTACCTGCAGTGTAGTCAAAATACTGAAACTTTATGACATGGTGATAATTTCCTTAGAAACAGGCAGTGTTGTCAGCAACTCAGGTTTGTGATTTTAGCTGTAGGATCCAGCCTAGGGCTGAATTTGCTGGGTTGCAGGAGACTGTTCCCAGCAGTAGGCTCAGAGGTCTGTGTCTAGGTAAGTATACGCCTTCTCTGCTGGTGTCCCTACCTTTTTAGCAGCTGCAGGCATCCCCTTACATGCTAGGTGATGAAGAAGGATTTAAATGTAACAAAAGGTTTTAAAAGCAGATACTAGGGTCAGAGGATAAAAATAATTTCTCTTGGTTTTTGATTGAAATAAATATTCTGAAGAGTTGACTAGAATGACAGTCATCTTAATTCTCCTTTAACCAGCCAAGAAGCAGAACTCCTCTGACTACCAAGTTCGAGGTAGTTTACTGTGTGATTTTCATCACATTATTTCTGTTGCTGGCTGAGTTCAGTAGCTGCATAAACCTTTAAGTTTGTATTTGACCCTTCTGGAGTCCTGTGATATCTGAGAGCTCCTTGAAGCACAGTGCTTCCACTGATACCAAACCGAGATCTTTGTGTCAAAAGGAGTTGCAGCTGCTCAGTAAAGATAGATATTTGCTCCACTTAACTATCCTGAGTGGTTTAGTCACATATCATCCTCCCATCCCCACATATCTCTGGTGGAAGGATAGAGATGGATGACCCCCTAGAGACCCCTTACAGACCTGTTGTCTGCCAGTGTCCCTCCCTGAAGACTGGTATTTCTCACGCTGCTCCATTAGATGGGATATGCGTAACTGCCCTTGCCTATAAGGAGAGGAAATAGAGATGTTTGCGAGCAGACAAAGCGGGGAGTCTCTGTGGAAGAAGCCAGAAGTCTGCATTTTGAGATGCTTCTGAGAAGCTTTTAAAATTGCTGATTTTGACCCCAGTGATTCCAAAGAATAATTAAAGAAACTGACAAACCACTGAGAAGAGGTGATCCTGATTGCTGGATTTGGATTGTCAGAAAAAAACAACAGTAGCAGCTAACCTTTGACTATTGGAGATTAATGCATAAGCCACTTGAACGCTGCAGTCATAAACTTTTAAGATTATATGCAGCATTGATCTTCCTTTACCGCTTATTGAATTACTTACTGCTAAATTCAATGTGGAATTAAAGCACAGGCAGAATCAAAATAAGAGGAAAGAAGTGTCTGGTTGGGTTTTTTTGCTTTTTATTGGAATCACTTGTACATCTCTTGTAGTATATGTAGAGCTAGGCTTCCTAGTTCTCAAAATGTTGGTACGGTTATTTATTTTCCCAAGTAACCAATATGGTATTTGCCTGTAAAATGATCTTGGCAAGAGAGAGAAGGCAGTTAGCTGACAGATGGGACAGATTTTGTCATGGCCCAACCCAGGTGGATTGTGCTGCCGTTAGCCTAATCAAGGTAGGAGGCTACGAGGGCAGAAGACGTTCTTTAGACATATATGCCTAGCCCATCCAGCCCAAAATCACATCTTCTAAGCAGGAGATTATAGAAAATTACTAGTGGATAAATGACATTGTCTTTTCTAATACATCTTTTTCACTAGCTGTGTTGTAATCCCTTTTGAAAAGAGCAGTTGCACTGGTAATTATGCCATGCGAGCACTGCTCAAATGCATTTTGTCTCCTTGAAAGAGAAAGAGAAAAAAAGATGTAAAAAGCAATTGTACCATCAGGTGGTATAAAGATCATATTTCCCTCTGTATGACAGCCAAACTGCCCAAGGACTTGTGGGCCATCCTCTCCCAGCCTGTCAGTGAGGCACGTGTAGGAGAGGGGTGGCACCAAGCTCTCGGTTTCTGGAAGGTTTCAACTCAAAACAGCCACCGGCAGTGACCGCCTGTGCAGAGTTCCTCCTTTGCCGAAGCCACTGAGAGCTTCGTCACCAATGCATCCAGGGGTCCAGAAGCTGTTCCTTGTCATCTTCGATCTAGGGATTGTGGTATTTGGAGTTTTGTCATTTCCCACAGGAATGAATCTTGACACGTAACTATGTCTTGAATGAAATGCAGCAGCCTCCTCATATGCTAATTGAGCGGTGTGCCTGCCAGGGGACACTGGCAAACACCGACAAAACAGCGATGCACGTAGTGGTGTGATGTTGTGTCCAACAAATGCAGAAGAAAAAAAACCCTTCCTGTATACCAAGTGTTTTCAATTGATGCCTTGAGAATTGTTCTGGTTTCGTTGTTACGTTGTACAGCTATAAAATCCATGGCTCCTCATCTTGACAGCTAGAAATATCACCATTCTATAAAGATGCCTTTTTTCTATTTCTGAAAATGAGAAGTTATTTTAAAATTGTTTTTATAGTCTCCAGAATGTTTCATGAGAGTATACTGAATTAATTGTCAAGCATCACTTTTAAATATTCTGAAAATCAGCATTTGTACTGCTCTGATCTGTGCTTTTGTTTTAGATTTGCAGATTTTATCAGGGGCATGCTGAAGTTTATACTGCTGCTGCTTTTCTCTGGAGCAACATTAGCATCAACCTGGTTCACTCTCACCTGTCTAACTAGTGTCACTCATCTGCCTTTAACCACAGGTATCAGCAATTATTTTATTTCCTATTATTTGTAATTGGTATTGCAGGCAAATATTTGCAGTCTTAAATCAACTATGTTATAACCTGGTTTGGTATCTTTGCTAATATGGTAGCTTTACCAAGGCAAAAAAAGAGGGTGTAGAAAACCTGTTGATTCTAAAATATTCTTCCTAACTTTTAATAACTTCATAAAAAGATTAAAAACTATCAAAGCCCAAAGATGAGAATACAGAATATACATTAAAAATTTATTTTGGGTCTGAGTGCTTTGGAATAACAGAGGTGAGAAGTGAATGTAAATCAAGAAAAATCAGATGAATAGGAACATCATTGCATATAAGAAACAGTGACATGTCTGGGAAGTTAGAGTTTTGTAACTTGCATTTATTACTGTAAATAGGTGGTGCATTTCAAACCAAAGTGTCCCGTAGTATTTTCAGCCATCTAAATTTATCCCTGCACTGTGCTGTCCTCTTTCTTTGCACCTGTGTGCAGGCTCAGGGAACTCTTCCAGCCCAAAATCAACTCAGCCTGTGCCTCAAAAAGGTTGGGGAAAAAGCTGTTGGCAGGAGTGGAGGAAGAGCTCAGAGGTCTACTCAGGCTGCCAGTGAGCTGTACCCTTAGTTGAAAATTAGCACTGCTTAGTTCCTAAAAATCTGCCCTTCGCTTTCCTGTCTGCACTGAAGGATTGATCCTCCTGTGATTGCAAGTCCTTCGACAGAGTAATGAGTTACTGTAAAACTAACCCATCAAAATTTTTAAAACAATTTATTAAAGAGTTCTGTAAATCTGTTTTAAATAAAGTGCCATCTTTGCTACAGGCAAGTTTATGCATTATAGGAGAAGTGAAGATTGTGGGGTTTTTTCTCCATTTCTAGTAGAGATTGATGTGGAGAGTATGGTATAAAATACTGGTTTACTCAAATTAACTTCGAGTTTCAGTAAGTGTCCTTGGTGCGTTGCATATGTCACAACTATAAACTAAAGTGGGTACAGCAAATTGAAATACATGATCAATTCAGGAGAAATACCATCTGGATGGATAGGTCGAATTCGTGATTTATCATGAAATTTCAACTTTAAAAAAAATCTGCCTAAATAAAATGTAATTTAATCAATAAACAAATCAGATTTCATGGTGGCTATTGTCATACCAAATGACTACACGTTTCCATCAAATCTAAAAAATGCAATAAAAGCTTATTTCTTGTGCTTGCCTGCTTCATCACTACAAGCCTGCAGTAACGTAAATTTTTACAGTAACTCTATCCTCTGAATTGATGTAAGAAGCCAAACGCATAAACGTCCCGTCGAGTCTATGCATAGGAATGAAGCGGAGAGGTTTCAAGAGGTGAAAGTCATTGTGTCTGTACTCACCGATGATCCAAAACAAATCTGATAGAGCTCTGTCTCTGATTTTATGTTTTGCAAAGAACTCAGCACGTAAGATAGGTTCTAGAAGAGTTCTTACTTGTTTATAGCATGTAGGTGCATTGTGGTGGGGTTTTTGGAAAGGTGATCCAGTGTCAGGACATAAAAGTACCTTAGATATTTGGGGTGTAGTACGAAGTATCCTAAACTAATATGCCATGATAAAAATCTAGAGATTGTGTTGGTCTTTTCATGCAGTTATCATTTCTTTTAACATGAATGATTCCTTGGATTGAGTTGTAAATGATATTTTAGAGTTTTCTGTCTGTGCTGTTCCTGTATATGTCACTGTAAACGTTGAACCCTTTTCTATAAAACACAAGTTTGTTTTGAATAGAAAATGCCAGCAATATGGTGCATTCCTCAAAAAAAGGCAATCTAAAAGCATCAGGGCCTAATGTGCAGCCACCAAATAAGGTCTCTTTTTTCTTCTGCGGCATAATGTTTAAACTTTATGGATAGGCAGAGGAGGGTTCAAATCAGCCTTTTCTCATTAAATTTCATATAAAATAGATGTAATGCGCCTGTTCAGTTTAGATCCTTGTACACAGAAAAGCAGTGGTATAGCTCTATGAAATATGCTGTTAAGGATGGAAACACACAAGCCATTTAAGATAATTTATAGGACTTCATGCCAGATTATTCCTCAACGTAATGATGCAGTATGATGATGACCTCTGCATTCCAAAGTAATTGGGAGAAACGGTACATTTGAATTGATTTGGTTGAACGTCTTTTTTTTTTTTCTTCTTTTTTTAATTAAAAGTTCGAGTTGTAGAGTATTTCAGAGTGTCAGTGTAGGAGGTCAGATGCAGGCCATTGGCTGGCAGCTTTGGCAGGTGATTTGAGGTTGCTGGTTAAGGTGGAAGTCACTCGGCATGCTCAGTGGACCGGTGTTGACCGTGGACTTCCAGGTAGTTATCCTCTGCATTTTTGTAGAGCTGGAAGATGTGCAAAAACAGAAGCAGCCATAATTATGAGGGTTTTTTGGTAGTAGAGGTCCATGTAATGCTTTGTATCCCAGAGCTACTTTGCAGGTGTCACTGGACACCTGCTGCAAAGCAGGGATTGTTGTGTTATTGAGGGCAACAGGGTTTGATGTTGCCAGAAGGTTAAAATGTGCCTCAACTTCTTCATGTCCTGTGGCAGAGCACAGGTGTTAGGCTTGGCAGTGCTGCAGAGCCAGCGATGGATCTTGGTCCGCACTTTCAGTCTGATTCAGATGCTGAGACAGAGCAAGGGTTCAAAACTGACTGCTGTGGAAACTCGTGGACGTGTGCATTTGATCTTGCAAGGAGGTTTTCCCTTCCAACCATCTAGTTGCCATCTAGAGGAGGCTTCCCCCTCCTCTCTTGCTCTGCCTCTGATGTTGTTCTCTTGAGCATGTCAAACTTTGCCTTACAAAACCACAAGCATTGCCATCTACAGCAGTACCTGAAACCTGCTAAAATACCGTCCACATAACCTGGTGGACTGCTGGTACAGTTACAAGGGAGCTTGTCCACGGGACAGGACATTCATTTTGATAACAAAGCAAGACAGCTCATGGGAGTCTTTGCACTGACCCAGGTGTAAGGCAGGCTTCACCCTAGAGATGAAGGCTGGTTAGAGAACATCATCATCTGCTTCATCTCACCTGACAGCTGCTTGATCTACAAATGAAGGTTGCATCCATAGGCAGACCTTGCCAGTGGTTTTCCCAGGTCCAAAAATCTCCTTTTCCTTTAAAATGTTGATACTGTGTGACACACGTGCTCATTCACCTCTTCTGAAAACCCTCTGCCTGGCTCTCACCTGGTCTCCAGAGTAAGCACTCAGGTGGGTTTGCATGCAAGGAGGCTTTTGAAATGCTAAAAAGATGAGTTTGGCCAATTATTCACCCTAAAGGGAATGGAGGAAAATCTCTAAAGACTTGGCTTTAAAATACAAACAACAGCCGCCCTCTTTTAATCAGTATTCTTTGTAGCAGTTGTAATGTCTGGTTTGAATTTTGGGGGAGGAACTGTATTTGAAAAAATGGTCACAGCAAAATGTTCTTTCCTGTACTTGTTTGTGTAATAGTCTCCTAATTCCTTGTAAATAGGTGCGACATCATCTAAAGATATTCCCTACAAAATGTAATTACTTAGAATGGGGACCTTTAATGCGGATATTAAAAATCAATGACTGCTTTGTGTTCTCTTTAAATGATGCTGCTCAGCGTTGTTTGTATTGTGTAATGCCTGCATTGCTCTGCATTATCATAACGTGCTCCGTTTTTCGTCCTGCCACAGAGCAAGTTAAGTTTTCTGTCAGTTGCTGACTTCTTAATAAATCTCCAGAAGGTTTTATAGGATGTATATTTGGAGTCATGTGTATGAACTATAACTGTTAGTGTGGGGGAAAAAAAAGAAAGCGAAGTAATAATGATATATTGCCATCGTAGCTACCATATCATCTATCTGAAACACCTCTCTTCAGATAATCACAGCTCTTAAAAACCTTTGGTTCTGGAATTGGTTTACATTTTAAGCAAGCTTGAATTTTCTTTTAAGAAATTTTAATTTTAATGTATATTATTTGCATTTTTCAGCAAGTTTCAAAGACAATTTTATGTACACATTGAGCATTAAAATAGTTTTCTCCATTGAATTCCCAATGCAGCTGCTGATCTCTTTTTCCGTGCCAAGTCCATTGTTAGTTTGCTTTGTACTGAACTTCATTATGTGAATTTATGTACAATGGAATACTCTGACCCAAAATAATTGTGTAAGGCATTGTAATGCCAGCTTCAGTATCTTGCCACTTTGTATTGCTGGTGGTATCTCCAGATACAAATACTAGCATTTTCCAAAAATTGACATGCAATGCTAGTTGCTTGCAGCTCAGATTGAGTGTTTTCAGCATAGCACATCAAGAATATTCTAATATTTATGAGCACATTCAGCAGAATTTTGCTTTACAAAGTCTTTTCTAGTGCAGCATGGCAGATACTCTGGATATTGTGGCAACTCTGCTAGTTGATGACTATATTTAGGTTAAGCAGTCTACTTGTTACTTTCAGGTTCAACAGATTGAATATTATAAACACATCTGTCTTCCTTTCCTCGTCTGTAAAGCACAGTATTGAAAAAGAGGTGTTCATCATTGAATACTGATATACTCTTCGGGTTTAATTTTTTTACTGTAAACAAGATGTGCTTGTTAAGTATAGGGCAACGGGGACACAGAGGATAAAGCAGTGGCCTGAAAACACGGAAACTGAAACTCTTTCTACCATTAGCATTAGCCTGCTTCTGGCTGCGGGCAAATCATTACCCCACTCCTGTTGTGCGTTTCCCACTCCTAAAATGGGAATAACGTCCTTCATCTTCCTGCAGGCTTCTGCAAATCCACAGATAGAAGAGTGCTTAAAGAAGAACTAATTTAAGAGTTCTAATTAAAAACAGTTTAATAAAACATGTGTTAAATAGTGTACAGTGCTCGAAATTTGAGAGCAGTGTTTCAGGGAGGACTATCTAGAAATCTAACCATTTAAAATATCTATCAATAGCCTCAAATGCTGTATGATTTTGAGGGGCCCCCCCTTT